AATCGGGAACGTTGTCTCTCATATTCTTTTGATTCTTCCGTTTTTCCCTTAATGTCCCGAATTCTAGCTCTTTCTGACCATCTTTTAAATCGGTCGACATTTGATCCACTTTTTCGTGTGGGAAGAGATCCGGGAATTCAAATGTCATATCCTTTGGCTTCAAATCAAATTAAATAGTCATTTAAAAATTCAATCGAGAAATTAATATTAATTTTGAAATAATACCAAATCAACGATCGCTGTCTTGTAGTCCTCCTCTTTGATGAGATACATCTTTCCATTGGCTCTCTTAATATCGCCGCAGCGGACAACTGTCCGCACGTTAACGACCGGTATTTTGTAGATTTTCTCCAAATAGTTCCTGACATCCCATTTGGTCATACTTTGGGATCAATCAATCAATTAGTTGTAATCAAATGGCAATTTGGAGACCAAAACATACATAACGGGTATTTTGAATTGAACCCGATTTGCGGGTAACGGGTCTTTGGGTTTCTGCAAAACCATCCAAAAGTCTGGCAAAAAGACCCGGAGCTGAGGGTTGCCCAACACATACCGCGGATACCTATTCATCACAAACTAGTCAGTCATTGGCATTCATTTGGCATTCATTGGTGATTACCATCGCGAAGACATTGGCCGCCAAATGTCAGCTAAACGCCAATCAAAGTGAACTCAATTGAGACCAAAATCCAAACACATGATCAAAATAATTGAAAGTTTAGTGTTTTGTTAGAAATAGTGAATACCTTTGCATTGATTGCATACTAGATGTCGTGTTTTGCCATTCAATCGCTTCTCAAACCCTATTTTTTAATGAAAAATAATATTTTATTTGTAAAAAATTTAAATTTCAAATTTCAATGCTTTCGTCATTTAAATGATTAACTTTTAATCAATTATATTATATTTATTTAACTATTTATGAAAATATTTCTATTTTAGGCAATAGTTATTGACTGAAGTGAAGGGCAAGTGATTGACAGGTCATAAGGTTTGGTGCAATCAATTGAAAGGCACTATAAATGCCATCAAATGGTTATGTAATAAATATATAGTAATATTTCCTTCAAAATTAATGCCTAATTAATGGGGTTTTTATAATCAATTAATATTATCGTTAAGACTAAACTAATCTCTACTTAACGTTATTATCAAACATTTGACTTAAATGTTGAGTCGACTCGAGTGTCGCAAAAGCCATGAAAAGGACTGCAATTATCATATGATTAAGTGATAGAAAGAAACGAAGATTATCTCACGATTGCCTTCACATGCGGTGATGTCCTGAAGTCCTCTCAACTCATTGTCACTATTTGTTAACAATTATAGTGAAAATCAGTCCATATTTTTCTTATCAATTATTTCGCAAATCTTGTCATTGACTGTGAATTTGAATCCAAGTCTTCCATTAGTTGACTAAACAATTAACCAAAACATGACATCACGTGATAATCGAGTGGCCAAATGGTATTTCGGAGGAGTGGCCTCCGCCGGCGCCGCCTGTTGTACTCATCCCTTAGATCTACTCAAAGTTCACTTACAAACCACATCCCGGGCTAAACTCAATGCCGGCACCCCTTCGCCACAGGTCGGGCTCGTGGCCAACACTCTGGTCATTGTCAGGAGTGAAGGAGTTTTGGCGCTTTATAACGGATTGACAGCATCTCTATTGAGACAATTGACATATTCCACCACAAGATTCGGGATCTACGAAGTGGTCAAACAAAAGCTCTCTCCAAATGG